ATGTGCTTTGGAAATGTCTTCTTTCTTCACATTAGTATCATGATCATTATCATGTTTAAAATAAAATAAAATAAAAAACACCATTTACAAACCACCTCGCCACCCAGAACAGATTTACAGTCAGCACTCTGTTTCCCTGGGGCCTGAATCCTTGGATTCAAACAACCTCAGATAGAAAATACTTGGGCAGGGAAAAAGAATGGTTGCTTCTGTACTGAGCATGTACAGGCTTTTTTTTTTTCTTGGCATTATTCCCTAATGAATACAGCATAACAACTGTTTACATAGCATTTACATTGTATTTGGTATTATAAGTTATTTAGAGATGATTTAAAGTACAAGCAAGGCTGTGCATAGGTTATATGCAAATATTACATCATGTTATATTATGGACTTGTGCATCTGTGGACTTTGGTATCCTCAGATGTCCTGGAACTCATCCCTCCGAACGACAACTGTACTTCATAGGCTGTCCAAAATGAATTGGACTGCCAGCATTCTCTACTTTTCCATGTATTACTCTTAGGTCAGGGGTAAAAACAAATCCCTGTATTTTATAATGAAGAATGAATCCCTGAGTCATTTGATTGCTTCAATAACAAAGCAAACCACGTAAAAATACCCTCACAGGCTGGGTGCAGTGACTCACACCTATAATCCCAACACTTTGGGAGGGTGAGGCAGGCAGATCACAAGGTCAAGAGATCGAGACCATCCTGGCCAACATGGGTGAAACCTCGTCTCTACTAAAAATACAAAAATTAGCAGAGCATGGTGGCATGCGCCTGTAGTCCTAGCTACTTGGGAGGCTGAGGCAGGAGAATCCCTTGAACCTGGGAGGCGGAGGTTGCAGCGTGCCACTGCACTCCAGCCTGGCAACAGAGCAAGACTCCATCTCAAAAACAAAACAAAAAAATCCCTTCTAAGGAAAGCCATCAGGTAGCCTCAGAACGGATACAATCTCACCCCATTTACCTAACCTTTTGTGCCAACGCAGCTGAGCCTCTAGACGCTACTTTAACAAACTCTCTCCGGGCCAGTCTTCTCAAGGCCATCTTTCCTTTCATTTACCTTTACATGTCTAGGGTTGCTGCTCAAACCTGTGTCCCCTCAAGTCCTTTCCCAAATAAAGGATGGCAGTTAATTGGCAATAGACAAACAAGTCTCAGAACAATTATGAGGGTGTAATGAAGTTTGCATTCGTACAGGCAATTAAATAGAGGAAAGGCCAACGAGGGGATGTGTATACAAACCTCCTCCAGCTGGCACACCTTGCCTGGAGGTCCTCCTCCACCGAAAGCCCGTCATGTGTTCCTCTGGAGTTAAGTCCCAGTTTTTGAGCCCATGATGCAAGGTCTTTTCCACCTTCCTCACTAGTTGACTTAGCCTGGCTTGTAACAAACTCTCAGTGTCATCCGCCTCCAATTCGGTTTTCCCCAGGTCTTGCGTACCTTGGCCTTCAGATGGGAAGCCAAGAGGTACTGAATGTAAAGGTGGCCGAGAGAAAGGAGAATAGACCCAGAGTCAGGCAAGCAAGTTTTATTAACCTGCCGGGCTGCTTCGTAACCATCAGAGGAGGCAGCCCCGAGCTTACAAAATGAGGGGTTTATATGAGGTGAGAGGGGTATAAGGGAGTTTCAGGACTGAGGTCATCTATCTACTGGTAACAGGCACAGAGATAGTTTGTCAACTTGTAACAGACCTACAATACATCATCCTATGACTTTTGTGGCGGCAGTTTTAAAAAAAAAGAGAAACCAGGATTTTTTACAGATATGCGTCAAACAGGAATTTACGAGCATGGATAACCAACATTTGTTTTCCCTGTCCTCCTTGGAGCTGCCGGGATGGGTGTAATCAGGCTTTGCTTAATTGTAGCACGTCTGGCAGCCTTGATGTGGTGCCTAGGTAGGAGTTCAAAAATGCAGCTGCAGAGCAGTCAGAGTCGCGGGGAAGGGGTCAGCTTGGGCGGAGGGAGTTTTCTAAGGCAGCTTGTCCCTAACACTGAGCATGTGAAGGAGGGTGATCTTTTCCCCTTCTGATTATTTTTTTTCATTGAGATTCTAAGTCCTCTGTCATTTCAAAGAAAGGTTACTCTCTTCACTTTGGAGCTATGTTCTGCATATCTTCCTAAGTAGAAAAAAATCATTAAATAGGCCAGGCGTGGTGGCTCACATCTGTAATCCCAACACTATGGGGAGGCCAAAGTGGGTGGATCGCTTGAGCCTAAGAGTTCAAGACCAGCTTGGCCAACATGGGGAAACCCTGTCTCTTCTAAAAAATACAAAAATTAGCTGGGCGTGGTGACACATGCCTGTAATCCCAGCTACTCGGGAGGCTGAGGCAGGAGGACTGTAATCCCAGCTACTTGGGAGGCTGAGGCAGGAGGATTGCTTGAGCCCAGGAGGTCAAGGCTGCAGTGAGATGTGATGGTGCCACTGCACTCCAGCCTGGGCAACAGAGTCAGACACTGCCTCAAAGGAAAAAACCCAAACACACCTCAAGTAACATCTGCGAAATAAAGACTTCTGAGTAGAATACAGAGAAAGCCTCTAAGATGGCCCCAGGGGAGCAGTGACACGTTTAGCCCGATTAATTGGCTAGTTTGGGAATCATTGTTTCCAAAGTGAGTGACAAGGCAGGGCTGGCTGGTGTCAGCTTTGTCCTCGGTTATAGTTAAAGGCAGGCTGGGAGGGCTGACTTGTTCAGTCTTGGTAGCAAAAAAGCGCATGATGTCTGGATAAGCAGGTTGTACAGCCTATTAGAAATGAAAGGTGACGGGTAACAGTTTTCCTCTAAGACAATAAGTGATGTTTTTTAAAGTTCTCCTGTTGAGATTTTTTTTTTTTGTTGAGACTGAGTTTCGCTCTTGTTGCCCAGGCTGGAGTGCAATGATGTGATCTCAGCTCACTGCAACCTCTGCCTCCTGGGTTCAAGCGATTCTCCTGCCTCAGCCTCCCAAGTAGCTGGGATTACAGGTTTGTGCCACCACACCCAGCTAATTTTTGTATTTTTAGTAGAGTCGGGGTTTCACCATGTTGGACAGGATAGCCTCGATCTCTTGACCGCGTGATCTGCCTGCTTCGGAAGGAGAGTAACCCATGCCCCAGGACCACTGATGAAGGCCTCCTGTTGATAATTTTAAATACCAGAATCTGAGAGTGGAGAAAATTGGCCCAAAGACAGACAAAAAAGCTGGGAAGAAAATCAACTACATTTTTCAACACACAAACAATGCCATTTAAAGTACTGGATTGAGTATAGAAGAATTACCAACATTCCTAATTTGGTTAGTGTCTATATTTCTTAATATAGTAGTAGTTAAAGTCTGTCTCCTAAGTTTGTATAAATCTGACCCCCTATGTCATTGACCAATTGGAAATAATAATGTAAACAGACTCTGTTGCCTTAATTATGTGCACTGAATGCTTTGTCAAATTGTAACTATTTTAATATTCATTCTAAGCCGCAGGTCTTTGCCAAACAAGATACTGAATTACTCTCTTTCGTTTAGGAGTAGAATACACAATAACCTAATATTTAAAAGTATTATTGAGAAGACAAAAATCTTGAGATTGAATTTTTCTTTATCATAAATTTTAGATGATTCTTTTTGCTCTACTCCATAGAAGACACTAAGAATTAGCTTGTTCTGCTTTCTTATTTTATTTTTTTCTACTTAACCTAAAAATCCAGGGGTGGGTTACATAGAGTTTACTTAGGAGACTTTGGTAAGGGAGAGAGAAAAATTATATACAATCTGGAAACACGAAACATGTAAACAATGAAAGCTAGAAGAATGGAAGCGACAATGTGCTCAGGAAATTATGTGTCATTTTGTCGGAGGTCAGGGTGCCCTGAGTCCAGGGAGGGTAACACTGGTTTTCCTGACCATTGTGAAGGCAAGGAATCCGTGTGTTGTCCTATCAGTTCCATTCAGGGCAGGGTAGAAACTTTTCAAATGGAAGAAAATGTGCATTAAAGGACATTCTTTCTTCATGGGGTGGGGTAGTGAATGCCTTGGGGTTCAGGCATGGAGTTGTTTGGGCCAGGTAAATAGTGAGGGGAAATAGCCAGGCAGTCAGTGGTGAAGTTGGTATTTTGCAAGTCATTTTAAGAGGATACCAAATAAAATGTGTTAATCCGTATTTCATTAAAAATTAGCTGGTGGGAAAGTGAAAAGTTGAAGACAAGGACCTTCTAAGTAAAACAGCTTGATACTCCTTGGCCATAACACAGTGTTTACAAATAGGGGATGAAACATTCACTTCTTAGGCGATCGATGAGCTTAACTGGGCAGGCATACGACACTTCTGAGCATTCAATCCCGTTCTCTGGGTGGTTAAAGGCTGAGTGCCCACCAAATCCCCTATCTCAGCATCATCTGTGACCATGATTCAAATTCTTTCCCATGAAGCTCTAAGGTCTCATCTGACTCAGTAGATGTAACTCAAGACTTGTACCTTTGACCCCAGTATTCTAAGACAAACACCACAGCGGATGCTGGAAGTGAAAGGAGAGGAGGGGTTTGTTTTAAAGTCAGGGGCCCAAGGTGCCCTGGCAATTTCAGACTCCCTGGGACCGGAGCTCCTCCTCCACTAAGCCCTTGTTTTTGAAAAACAGTAGGGTGGGGCCAAAAAGCATTACAATGGAGCTGGGATGGATGAGGCTTTCTTTCATTTGAAATGTCACTTGTGTCAGGTTTCATGAAACAGTGCATTGGAAAACAGAAGCTATGTTCTGCCCCGTGGGTTGCGCTGGAAGAGCCGAGAGACCAGGCTGTGGATCTCTGCCACCAGCAGCAAGAGAGGGCAAGCCCAGCCGCCCGCTAGGGGACCAGCAGGAAGCGGCGCGCCTGCCAGAGCTCATCACTTCAACCCTGGCTTTCACTGCGCTCACTCCCTGAATGGCAGTAACCGGGGGGGCGGGGGTGGCATGGGAAATGAAAGAAAAGAGATCTGGGAAAGTAAATCTGCCCGGGGAAAAACAGTTACCGGAGTTTTGGCAAAACAGCTAGCAGATGCAGACGGGGAGGCAGAGGGAGGAGAGAAAGCTGGGCTTCAGCAACCTGCCACGGAAATTTAAACAAAGGAGGTTTGAGAGAGGCGGATCCGGCTGAAATATCGGCACGGGGACACAGAGACCGCTGCTGGACTCTCGGGATGAAACGGAATCGATTCCCAGCGTCTCCATTGGGGCAGGAGTGTCTGGAGTATGTTCCAAAATAAGAACTCAGAGAAACGAGTGAGTTTGGAAAAAAGACTTACAGATTTTGACGGTCTCTGACATTTCACCCTTCTTTGAGGCATGCCTTTATCAATGCGTTACCTCTTTGTAATTTCTGTCTCTAGTGTAATTATTTTCATCGTCTTCTCTGTGTTCAATTTTGGGGGCGATCAAAGCTTCCAGAGGCTAAATATCTCAGACTCTTTGATGCTGACTCGAGTTTGCACATCTTTTATCAATGGGAAAACACCTTTCCTGTGGAAAAACAAACTAATGATCCATGAGAAGTCTTCTTGCAAGGAATACTTGACCCAGAGCCACTACATCACAACCCCTTTATCTAAGGAAGAAGCTGAATTTCCCTTGGCGTACATAATGGTCATCCATCATCACTTCGACACCTTTGCAAGGCTCTTCAGGGCTATTTACATGCCCCAAAATATCTACTGTGTCCATGTGGATGAAAAAGCAACAACTGAATTTAAAGAAGCAGTAGAGCAACTATTGAGCTGCTTCCCGAATGCTTTTCTGGCTTCCAAGATGGAACCAGTTGTCTATGGTGGGATCTCCAGGCTCCAGGCTGACCTGAACTGCATCAAAGATCTTTCTGCCTTGGAGGTCTCCTGGAAGTACGTTATCAACACCTGTGGGCAAGACTTCCCCCTGAAAACCAACAAGGAAATAGTTCAGTATCTGAAAGGATTTAAAGGGAAAAATATCACCCCAGGAGTGCTGCCCCCGGCTCATGCAATTGGACGGACTAAATACGTCCACCAAGAGCACCTGGGCAAAGAGCTTTCCTATGTGATAAGAACCACAGCATTGAAACCACCTCCCCCCCATAACCTCACGATTTACTTTGGCTCTGCCTATGTGGCTCTATCCAGAGAGTTTGCCTATTTTGTTCTGCATGACCCACGGGCTGTTGATTTGCTCCAGTGGTCCAAGGACACTTTCAGTCCTGATGAGCATTTCTGGGTGACACTCAATAGGATTCCAGGTACGTACAGTTCCCTATTTCATGCAAAATAAATGTGTCATATTTGAAAGGGCTTTGGAATAATCAGCCACTTTTTATTAGGAAGTAGAAGATGAAAACTGGAGTATATATATAGTCCTTTCTAAATGCAGAATGATTTTTTTTTTTTTTTTTGAGATAGGGTCTCACTCTGTGGCCCTGGCTGGAGTGCACCATCACGACTCACTGAAGCCTGGACCTCCTGGGCTCAAGTAATCCTCCCACCTCAGCCTCCTGAGTAGCTGGGACTACAGGTGCACACCACCATGCTGGGCTAATTTTTAAAAAATTTTTTGTGGAGACAGGGTCTCACCATGTTGCCCACGCTGGTCTCCTACTCCATGGCTCAAGCTATCCTCTCCACCTTGGCTTCCCAAAGTGCTGGGATTATAGGCATGAGCCACCATGCCTGGACCAGGATGATGCTCTTTATGTGATCATTCACATGTTCTTTTTTTTTTTTTTTTTTTTTTGAGACGGAGTCTCGCTCTTGTTACCCAGGCTGGAGTGCAGTGGCGCGATCTCGGCTCACCGCAACCTCCGCCTCCTGGGTTCAGGCAATTCTCCTGCCTCAGCCTCCTGAGTAGCTGGGATTACAGGCACACACCACCATGCCCAGCTAATTTTTTGTATTTTTAGTAGAGACGGGGTTTCACCATGATGACCAGGATGGTCTCGATCTCTTGACCTCATGATCCACCTGCCTTGGTCTCCCAAAGTGCTGGGATTACAGGCTTGAGCCACCGCGCCCGGCCTCATTCACATGTTCTAGCAGTACTAAATAATACCTTTCCATGGTACCACTTTGTGGTCTATCAAGTCCCTTTGCACACATCATCTTATTACATCTTTACCACAATAGCTATTACTGTTCTCAGTCCACACTGGTGTTCTTTCTTTCCCCTAAATTTGTCAAGCTTGCTCTTACCCCAGGATCTTTGCCTGGGCCACCCTCCTGCCTACTCCAGGTCTCTGCAGGCTCGTTCTCTTCAGCCAGATTTCCGCTCTCAGGTGTCAGCAGCTCTGATATGCCCCCTCACTGGCCAGCACACCACCCTGTTTTTCCTTCAAAGAGTTTATTTTCATGTGGAATTAGGACATTTGCCTATGTGCATGGGTTTGTTCTTGGTCTTCTCTGCACTTGTTCCATGAAACAAGGGTTATTTTCTATTTCATTAAATGTTCCTCAGTGCCTAGAACAGATAGTAAATGCTCAAGTGTATATTAGATGAATAAATGAGTGAGTGAATGAGTGAATGAATGAGTGGTAAAGCATGAGGCTTTCCTATGGCACCAGAGCTGTCTCCCTAAGACATTGTGAAGCTGAGAAATATTTGGATCATGCATGTGCCGAATTGTATGTGTAGGGTTTTTAAAAATACATTTTATTTCAGATAAAATAATGAGATTTTAGGAGAAACTCCTTGCTTTCCCATAAAATTTTTCCTGTCTTTACTAATTTACCAGACCGATTGTTTTTTTAAAGTGTATAAAACATGATAGGATTTCTTCTGAAGGAAACAGCGTGCTTTGGACTCAATGAAAAATACAAAATGGATCTCTGATGAACTAGACAGCATTATTATAGCAAGAGAAAAGCAATCATTGTTCTGGCTGTTGGGGGGCTGCCAAGTTGGAAAGGCTGGTAGGTGCTCTCAGGCTGCAGGGCAGGGCCTGCTGGGCGATAAACATACCGGCATTCTCTGGAAAATACCATGCCCGGTGTCTGAGTCCCAGAATGGCTTGCCTGGTGAATGGGGTTCACTCATATGCTGCGCACACTCTCCTCATCTGCCTCTCCCTGGGCTCATCCTCTTTTCACCTGTGATCTGTTTTTTCTACTATTCACGTATCATTGAGGAGCATTGGGTACTTAAGAGCTAGCTGATTTTCATATTTAAATATTATTTCCTTTCTATTTTAATTATTTCCTTAAAATTCATAAAAGTTGGGTACCAGTCAAGTGGTTCCTTAAGTATTGTGCTGAGATGAAGGCATTTCGTAAGTTAGCAAAAGTCTGAATTGTTGCTTTTTTTTTTTTTTTTTTTTTTTTTTTTAGAAAAACATGGGTTTTGGTTTCTATTAGATGTAAATGTCTGTGTTTACTTTGCCAGAGGCCTGGTCAGTTTTATCAGTGTCAAGTAATATAAGAAAATCAAGGGGAAAGGAATTTCCCTTTTTTCCTTACTCCCTCTCTGATCTCTTGGGAGACCAAAAGAATATCTGGATAGATATAGGAGAGAATGGTATCTAGATGGGTATAGGACAGAATGGTATCT